TGAGTGTGGGTTCGGGCTGCCTTCATTTGAACTATTTGTTCACTAGTTTTCAGTACCTATCCTCGGACCCCTGGAGGATAGCTCATGTGATTAGACAAGAAAAAGGGACCATTGCCTGTTTAATACTTTCATAAATGTCACCAGTAAATATGTAAAATGAATTAAAAGTTGATTATATATTTTTTTCTTTTAAATTTGAAGATAATTCCACAATCGTGATAAATATAGACATTAAACCCTTCAAAAATCCACCTCACACATGACGTATTTTAAAGTTTTTTAAGTCCACAAGTATCATGTCACAAAAGTCATCATTTAAGATTTTCTTTTTATTTTATGGAGCAATTGTCAAATTTTAAGTTGATTGAAGATTTCTGACTCTTATTTTGATTCAATAAGATTTTAATTGTAAAATATTTATTAAAAAAATAACATTATTTATCAAGGTAATACAAATATCGAGTGTATATATTTATATATACAAGATATATGCATATATTCTATCTATTTATATTAAAAAGTATATTTTCAAAAATGTAAATAGTGAATGACATATATATACTAATCATTTATTAAGTCATCGTTAATTAATGATTTTTTTATTAAATTAAAGTATTGACTAATTTTTATTTTGTTTCCTTGTTAACTATTGAAGTTCTTATTAAAGTAAAAGTTTCTTAATTAATATATTATTATTAAATTAAATGTTAACCATTTTTTATCTATTTATTTCTTTATTAACATTGAAGTTTTTATTGAAGTAAATTGTTCCTAATAAAATTTAAAATTTGGCTATATCAAGAATTAGAAGCTTAATTCCATTGAATCATTAAATAATTTAAATAACTTTGGTATTTACATGGCTGGTAAGCTTCAATAATTAAGGTGGTTGTTCAATAAAAACCACATGTATGTTCAATTAAGCATTACGTGTTACATTTTGTTCATATTTTAATAGTGAGTTAATAAATAAATAGATTTGAACAAATTCAAAAGGTCATAAGTGAGAAAATAATTATTTTATGGTAACCAAAGAAAATGAAACACCTCAGAAAATTCACAAACTAATGGTACAATTTACTCTTAAAGATTTTATTAGTCATAATTATAATCTACATATACCCGAACATTTAGCTCATTGATTGGTATATGATCCTTTACCTAAAGAACAAAATTCAAATCCCCTTTCTTTCAATTAAAAAAAAAATCTTCATGATTTATTTTCAATTACTTACACAAGAATTCTTTAAGGACCGCTACCGCTACCGCTACCGCTACCGCTGTACTTAAAATGATGATAAGAATAAGTTCAGGCATTTTAACTAGGATATATCAGGTATAAATCCAAGTGTAGAGATGAAAATATTACTAGTTTTTAAAATGTTAATTCTAAAGGCATATGAGGAGTTTATTGGTGAGATCTAATGTTCAAATTACTACATACCTATATATCGATATCGGATATATCCATATTACATGTATTATTTTTTGGGCACCTAAATCAATAGCTATTTAAGCGCAACTACAACAAATTATACTATGCCAGCTTCACAGATAAGCTATAATCATTTTTCCTATTTATTCGTTTCTTGTATGTGGGTTAATGTTTATATACACAGTTGAAAGATCCATGCGGATTCTACATGATTAAATGAGACACTAGGAATAAATTATCAATCTTCAATGGAACCCTGTAGACGTACTAATTGAGTTTGATTTTAAGAATATAAATGGTATGAAAAATTACGCTCCAGTTTTCTTTATCTGAGACTGCCTCTGGAAGCTTAAAAGTGGGAGGCTTATCAACACCCCTCCTTGAATATTCCCTCCATCTTCGCGCTGCTGCCGCAGCCGTCCTCGCTCTCTCTTTCACTTCCTCCTCTGCAACAACAAATCAACTTGAGTTAAACTTTCAGCCTTAGCCGAGTTCTTCAGATAATCAGTTTACAATGCACAGCAAAAAAGGCTGAATCATAGGTATTCATGTGACCATGCATTGGCTACAAAATGCAAAATGTAAGAAGTATTTAAAACAGCTAGCCTCCATTTTTTGACAGCGGTAAAAACTGAAATGATAAAGCCACTTCAACCTTCCATTAGTGAAAGCTTCATCACTAATTTTTTAGACCTGATAACAACTTTACATCAAAACCTCCTGATAACTCAACTGGAATGTCAACCATAGTATGTTCATTCTTAATAAATGTAGAATAAATATTCACCAACCCATAAAACACACCATTTGTCCCAGGACAAGTAATGGAGATTTCTATGCAATGCAAGGTGATGAAAATGGTTTATTTCATGTGTCATCATTATACACTCCTCAATTTCTTATCCCGATTATACCACCAAAAATAGCCATGTTTAATAGGCCAATAGTCCTGCTAGTCCCAAAATCATAAAATCCAAAGGTGACTTTGATTACAAATATCAAGGCTCCACAAGCGTTTATGTAAGTATCAACTGGCACGTAGAAAGGAACTGCTAGCATCAATAAAGCAATGCCATTTTGCTGCGCTCCTGAAATCAGTATGCATAAGCTCAGGGAGACACTATCTAACACCAGTATGTTCTTGGAATGAATCCAAAATTGTTTATGCAAAATGTAGCTCAAAATAGAAAATCCTGTGAGAGTGTTATTGACTTACTAATCTAAGTGCATCAAACTGATTGGCCAGGGAAAACACTGAAAAAGAACTAAAAACTTCAAGGGGCTTCCTTATGTACTTAGTAAATTTTAACTTAATAAGTCCTTAATTTCCAGTGCCTTATCACTATGTTCCAAGCAGATGGCCTTTTGTATTCTTTTGTCTAAAATAACAACATGATTCAGAATGGATACATCTCTAAATTAAAATGGGAAAACCAAAAGAAACTTTAGCTGAAACAGTCCATATTGTGGTTTCTTTGATAGGAAGATATCATAAACTTCTGGCAAAAGGTAAATATTCTGTTCTCATTATCCAGTAGAAAAAACATCTGGCCATTTTTATAACACGTGCAAAAACAAATTTTGGAATTGTTAGAGATTGTCAAATTTGCACGCAGAAACATCCACAAATGTTAAGTTACCGCATCAGAAAAAAAAGAATTGAAAAGAATTCTGAAAAAAAAAAAAGAAGAGTTGGACAAATGAACAACCTATTATTAGCAATTATCAAATTTCTCTACCTGATTTCTTGTATTCCTGTGGCTTGCCCCAAAGGTTGCTCCAGTACGAGTCGGTTTTACCAGAATCCTTTTGCCATGCCATCTTTGCTTTAGCTTGTTCCTGCAACAAGAATGAGAAGAAAAAGATTAAGTAACTGTTCAGTTATCCTTTCCCACAGCTACTAATTTATAGCATCCGCAGAGTCTGTTACACACCTACTCTCTAACAAGAATAGCAGCTACTGGATTTGGTCCTATCAGGAAAGCATTTAAACATAGATTTTCCTTAATGTTATAGTTCCTATTTTCGGGGTGAAGTTATTTTGATGACATCCTTTACAATTCGATTTCATTAATCTAAACCCAAATTTCAGATACAACTAAGAAAGTGCATTTAAGTACTTGAGGTGCTTTCAAGTGTTAGAAGTTTTTAATAGCACCAGGAAAGGGAGAAGCCTTTTAAGTCAATAGTTGTTGAGAAGACAATTATTCAAGAGGAAAAAGGGCTGATTTGGCAGGTAGTCAGAAAGATTTGCTACTAAATCTTTCGTTTAGTTTTCCCCCTACATAGTTGAGATATTTCTCTTAAAAATAAATAATAGCTGAGACTTTACAAGTAAATCATCAATGAATAGAGAAAATCATGCCAGTGAAATGACTGACACAAGAAGTTAGCAAATTGCTAAAGCCACAAAACTTTTGTTAGCTGTCAGCAGATAAATGCAACATCTAGGAAGCATGTATTTACTTTTAATAATAAAGGGAACAATTTATTCTAATAACGGCATTAAGAATTACATTTTCATAAAAGTCATATAAATAAACTAATGGTCAATCAAGACAACATTGAACAAAGATTTAGATGAGAGTGATTATAATAAGGATTCCTACCAGAACTTTTGCTTGCCTCTTTTCCCACCTAGAACATGCCTGCCATATACAATTGGATTTTAATAATATAAGAAAGTGTTAAAAGCAGAAATGGTATCATCACACAACATATGTATTACATTTACCATTCTAAATACATCCATTGATGCAGATCCCATTCCTGAAAGCATCAATGCCACCTGATGGTCCATTAAAAAGACTCAAAGTTTAGCAATGAAAGTAGCAAGCCAGAATAGGTTAATGGTAAGTTACTGAAGGACTAAGCACATCTTATATTTGTTCTAAATATATAAATATGTTTGTACACATTTAACATTATTAACAAAAAGAAAAAAAAATCATATTTACCAAGATAAAAGGGCATCCGTTTGACATCTAGGTGAAGAAGTTATATCCCTCATGTAACTTGATGCAAAAAATCATTTATATCAAATTCACAGATTCAGGGAATAGTTAAATTTAATATGAGGCAACCACAGGTTTCACTACACAATGGCTCCTGCTATTCTGAAATAGTAGATAATTTTTACCTTTCCATGTTCTAACTTCATGGTTTTGATGTTCAGCTACAAGCAGAATCTTCGTCTATCTTTCATTCTTTCTTTAACTCTTTTTAGTTTCCCTATAAGTAATAGCTTATTGACAAGAAATTCTTTTCCCATTTTAAGTCTTGGAAAGATTCAGAATCAAGACATAACCAATAATTAGTATAATGTTTCAACACTAGAATTTAGAAAACTTAATTTGCATTTGGAGCTACTCTTTTTTTTAATAAAAAAGAAAGAAGTAGAAGAAGAAGAAAAAGAAGAAAAATATATCAAATATACAACTAACCAATACTTCCATAATTTGGACAGCTTCAAACATCTCGGCTTTGAAACCCACCATTGATCAAGTTGACTAACATTTGATCTATTAATCCCTTACTTTCTAAACCCAGAAGCAATCTAACAGAATTTCAAAACGCTAAAACGTATGCTCATATGTGATCAAGAAGATTGATTTGTGTACTAGGGACTTCGAGAAAAGAACCTAACAGTGACTGTGTTCTTAACCTAACAGTGACTGTGTTCTTACATTCACTCTGTCTACCCTGCACATTTCATCTTCAAGCAAGGATAATTGTGCTGCAGAAGTCCGATGGATGCAATCAACTGGGCTGAATAACAGAAGACAATGTTGATCAGTAATCATGTAAACCATTTAACTAGCCATCTACAACAAGCAATAAAATATATTAAGACCTTTTCTCCTACACATTTTTAACAACATTCCAGACAAGAATGCAAAGTCAAATTTTAGGGTAGAAACATCAATGAGAGGATATATTTTTATCCTACAGTAACAGAAAAGGGAGTAGAACAGAATCAGAAATCATAGATGATAATCCATCACATTAGTAAACTTCAAGCTGAGGATTTCAAAATTCTCCATGAATCAGGGATTCCCATGTACTATTAAATATCATGGAGGAAACTTTATGTTCATCATACCTTATAATATGACTTCCACCATCTTCTTTACTCTTCATAATGAACAAATAACTAATTATAAAGTTTCTCTTACTCAGCTGGCCATTCGCCTACTAATAAGATCGATAATAGTAAATATCAAGGAGCTAAATGTTGGTACGTTAACCATAGAAATTGTATCCACTTGACAACTTATAAGCAAGTTGAGAATGGTAGTGAGTTACCACTGATAAGGTCTAGATACAACAGATCACCCACAAGATAATGCAGAAGAGAATAAAAGCATAGAGCATTCTCCTTGTAATATATTTAGCATATTTAACAGAAAGTGGATGATATAGCATTACTACGATTGATGATATACCCGGAAGCAAAAACCTACCAACTTTCAATTGCTTGTGCAATTAATTCAGGATTCCCACACTGACTATGTACTCTGGCTCGCCCAAAGTCTTCCTCAATTCGAAACACATCTGAGGCCAGATTGGCACAATTTTTGCAGCCTGCGAAGAAAATTAGCTCATAAGAGGTGTCAAATTAGAAACCTTGGTAGGATTTATGCTATTATAATTGCTTCATTCCAATAGCAAGTATGTCTTTAGCTACTGTTTGTAGTGTCCACATAGAGATAAAAAGAATCAAAATAAAATTGGAATTTTACAGAACAGTATCTTGACAGCACATCTGCTCATATAATGGTTACCTCTAATGAGGTCGTAGGTAAGCAAGATATAACTCAACAAGAGTAGGCTGAAATAATGAATCTCCAATTCTTTTTGTATAATCAATAACCATTTGGAAAGGCTAAAATATTTACGTGGACATCAGAAGTTCAATGGAGATCATGATTATTCTATATACCAGGGGATAATCTAAGACACTTAAGCTATAAATTAATAATCATTAGTAAAGAACTGATAAAGCATGTCAACCAGATAAAACCTAGGAATGCCAACTCCTACCTATGCAACTAAACTCATCGACAAATACATGATCCCTGGGGGCAGAATCATCCATGAAAGGATTGATTGCAGTCAATGCATACCCATGAATTTCATCATAAACCATGCGCTGTACAGGGTCACTGAGAACCTGCACTGAAATAGTCCTATTATAGCAGTGGAAAACTAAATGTTTACATTATACATAAGTTCGTGTTGTATGGAACACACCCTATAGACCTCGTTAATGAACATGCAGAAATTTGTAGTCTCTGGATCATTGCCACTTAAGTCTGGATGACAAGCCTTCATGCAATTATAATAGGCCTTTTTTATCTCCTCTAGTCTGGCATCCGGAAGCTATGAAAACAGGCCAATCAAAATTAGATTCCTGAATCACGTCAAATGATAATTACCTTCAAAAGATAAATATATATTGTACAAAAGATTCCAAATAGCTTCGATGAATATCCATTAATCTAGATCACTTGCAAACATAAACTCTTTATCACTATCCATCAATGTTCACCTTCCAATAATTCTACCAAGTACTTTAACCACAAGATTCGCTCCCGACGAATCAATGAATTAGAAAGAAACAACCAAGAATTACCTACCTCAGAATCAAACCAAAAGAAACATTTTTCCTCAAGAAAACATTACTAACGAAATGTTCATTTGAGGGCATCAACAGCCCCATATATATCATATGGGAACCTAAATTAAAAAGATTATGGTTCAGAACACAAACAGTCCCCTCATTTGCATCTCCTCTTGATTAACAGTATAACTACTAGCTAAATTGAGTCTTAATCTACGTATTATGTTGAACTACAATACTAGTAAGGTTTGCTAAACCTCATAAAGGAAACCTGAGGCAACAGGAAATCGAAAGTTTGAACAGCAGCAGAGTAGACAAAGCGTTTTCTCGAGACAGAAGACATAAATTGCTGAGAAAACACAGCCTGATTTTGTGTTTATATCCAAATCGTAGAAAACAACTACACCAATCCAAATTGTTGCACTGCTCACACTTCAATTCTTTCTTTTTTCCTACATTTTGTCATAACAAGAATACTAGAACTGAGAAGAAATTTGAAAAGCCTTACCAGACCAAGAACGGCATAGTAATCATCGGCAAGAGAATCAGTGGAAGCAGAATTCCCTGTTGCAACCTTGACTCTGCCACAACCTCTCCTTTGACCACCACGACCCATCACGCTCCAAGAAGCCCCACTCTTGGCCGTGGCCTTCCAAGAGCTTCTTTTGCACATATTTAAAGATGGGTTATGGAGTTTGAGAGCATCTGTACATACAGGAGAGAGTAGCTGAGCCATTCAAAATATTCCGTTAAAACCCGAAAAAAAATCTCTCTTCTGCTCTGTTGGTGTTGAAAACAGGAACAGAGAAGAGTGAAGAAAGACAGATAAACAGGGAGGGAGAAAACTGAAAAAACAGATTTTTTTTATTATTTTCTTTTAGATTATTAGTTACCTTGGATTATTAGAATAAATGAGAAAATTTTGAGGAGAGGGAAATTCAGGCGTGGAAGGGAGAAATGCTGAGATGGCGAAAAGAGAGCCATTTGCTTTGCAAGAAGCCGGAGGGAGCTGAGTTGAATCTACGGAGTAAGTTTAGCACGTGTCAGCTTGTGGATAGTTGTTGCTGCCTCCCTCATGCAACACTCCAAGCAACCACTTGCATTCCTTGTCTACGCCCGCTTTGCAACAATTGCTCCATGCTCTATGGATGACATAGACTAATTACCCCTTCTAAATTTCAGATTATTTGAAGAAAATTTATGTCAAAGATTTGCTTGATGACTTTATTTAGAGCAATTTAGGTATGCCAGCAGACAAAGGACCTTACCGATTAGAACTTCACAGCTCTATGATCTTGTTATTATTCA